GATCAAACATCTATGGTTTAGTATGACAAAAACTCTAATCCTATTATTCATTAAATAATTACCTGAAAACATTTGAAATATTAAATTTTATTACGATATTATAAATGTATGTGCTTTATTTAATATTAATCGATAATATTAATCTATAAGAAAGAGTTTCGTAAAAATTAATAACACTTATATGCACAGATTTTCTGTAAAAAAATCCATTCTTTTCAGAAAATTGCATCCATCGAATTGTATACAATCAATTGTATAAACTGAAAAATTGTACCCAATCAATAGAACCATTTCGTGTATTCTTTTACCATTCCCACCTGAATGCTTTTGTGCTAAATTTATGGGCTTGGCACTCCTATTCTGAGAATTGCACGTTTAATATCAAGCCTAATAAGACAAGAAACTTACAAAAATTATAATAAATATATTCCTTATAATTTTTAAGAAAATATATTCTTTTCTGCTCGATTGGTTACAATTTGTATATTTAAACAATTTTAAAAATAAATTTAAAAAATTGCTTAAACATTGGTTTATATATTTACAAAATATTACATCAAACCATTTTTCTTTAATTTTAATACTAGCTGTATGATTAATTCCAATTTTAATTTTAATGCTAGAATTTGCTTCAATGATAGATTTTATTTTAATACCAGCTATACCCTCAATGAAAGGACATTCTAGTTCACAGATTTTCGAGCTAATACAGCTAATCCTCAATGAAAGGGTATTCTAATTCACAGATTTTCAAATGAATACAGCTACACCCGCAATGAAAGGACATTCTAGTTTACAAATTTATGAAGTCTATCAATATGGACTCGTAAAGTGTTAGATGCAAAAGAAAGTAATTTATTGCTAATTCTTGTTTGGGTAAAACAACTCTAAAAAAATGGTTCATGTGATACCAATTTTTTTACCTCTGTAATTTGCCAAGCTACACTTTCATTCAAAAAAATTCCCATCCATGGAAATACCCAAAGCATGTAACTTTTCTTTTTTTTTTGGAATTATCTGTGTCCACAGCCATTTGTTGTCGGAAACATACGTGCCAAGAAACAGTTACGCTTCGCACACGTCTGACTGCATTGAAATGTAGACATTTCCCCTGTTCATAGTATGTGACCTGAAACACGAATTCTGTGGGATTGGGAGACACAAGTTATTTTTTTTCATCACCCTTTTTTGTGATAAACGGTGGTGGTATCGAAGACAACCCTCTATGTGATTGAGCGTCGGAGTAAAAATCTAGATAAAAGATCGTTACGAAAGTTAAACCTCCACAAAAGTTCTCTGCACTCTTAATTACTGTTTTGCAGACAAATAGAGAGGCTTTTACTTTTTTCTACAACATCCGGTAAATGTCTGTGATAACTTAATATTCTTGTCAAGGAGTTGATTCACAAGAATCTCTTTCTACTTTCTGAAATTTCGACAAAACCAAAACTTTTTTTCAGATCAAGGTTATGTATGAGGATAAAATTACACAGTTAGGTTAGACTAGATAACTCTTATCTTCTAGAGCTGCAACAGACAGTTGTTTGAAATAAAAATTGCAATTCATAAATTATTCAAGCTGTTTATTTTTATTGTTACTTTATTTAAATTTGAATGCATTGCCTTTTGACATCGCTTATTAAGAATGATTACGTCTATTTACCAAATGCATTCGTGGTGTTATTTGATACTGGTGAACTTATTGTAGCAGGAAACACATTCAAGAACATGAAATGGGAAAAGAAAGTTCAATAACTTTCGTAAAATCATCGAACTGAAACTAAGATATGAAAAATAATTTTTTTTTCACTGAAAATGTAACAAATCTATGTGAATGGTTTTTTTAATATTGATGATAAATAATATATTTTAAATGACATCTGCTATATGACTGTCGAAATCTTAGATGGAATTCTTAAAAATTCGATAACTTAAAAAAATTATATTTTGTTAAAAAACGAGGTTATGATGTAGATTTCCTTGTTAAAATAAGAAGTTTTCAGTTTATTATTCCTAATAATTATATGAATATTGCATAAACGAAAAAATTACACATTTCTGTCTTTTAGTACACAGCATGGATTCATATATCGACCAATTAAAGAGTTTACAACAACATAGGGCTTATTTGAGACATAGGGCTTATTTTTGCCCTATGTCTACAACAACATAGGGCAAAAATGTTGTTACTCCGAAGCGATGCTATTGTTTTATACTTCTCAGTTAAAGCAATCACCAAAATTTAAATGCAGGAGTCTCTTTTCTGAATGATCTTTATATAATTACATGTTAAAAAACCTTTTAAATATGTAGGAGCAATTTTTGTTTGTCTCTAGTAGGTTCTTGATAACTCTAATAAAAAATTGCAAATTTTTAGACCTCTAAAAACTGTTAAATCACAGATAGAAATCTCCATTATGTGAAAAGACATTTTATTTAACAGATTTATGAAGTCTATCAATATAGACTCAGAAACTTTCGAACGAATACAGATACACCCTCAATAAAAGAACATTTTATATGCACATTGGAAATTGTCAATAGTAAAGTATCTGAAGTATCATTTAGGATTTTTTTAAATTACAAGTTCATGTAAAATTCGACCTTGTGATAAACTCAAAACTTGAAGCATCAGTTCTAGGAACTCATACAGGTTTTTCTCTAGCATTTTCAGGACATAGTATGTGCTTTATACTTATCAAGTTAAATGTACCTTATACTTTTAAGTTAATAATTCATAGAACTGATGCTACATTTTCGTATTTGTGGGTTTGTTACAGAAAAACAGTATTACTAGAAAATTAAAGCATCACTCCTATGAGCTCATAAAATTTCTTCTCCTGTATTTTCAGGAAAACAGAGTATGCGCCTTATACCTTTCAAGTTAAATGCCCATTATACTTTTAAGTTAATAAATTGTAGAACTGATGCTTCATTTTCGTATTTGTGGGCTTTTTACAGAAAAATAGTTGTGCTACAAAACTGAAGCATCAGTTCTATGAACTCATACGAGTTCTTCTCCGGTATTTTAAGGACAACAACAGTATGAGCCTTATACCTTTCAAGTTAAATATGCCTTATGCTTTTAAGTCAATAATTCATAGAACTGATGCTTCATTTTCGTATTTTTGGGTTTGTTACACAAAAATAGTATTACTACAAAACTGAAGAATCAGTCCTATAAACTCATACAAGTTCTTCTCTGGCATTTTAAGGGCAACACATTATGGGCCTTATAAGATGAATGTGCCTTTTAAGATAAATAGGCATTTAAAATGTGCCTTTAAAAATTTTATTTTAAATGGATCTTTTAAGATAAATGTGCCTTGCCTTTTAAGTTAATAATTCATAGAACTGATGCTTCATTTTCGTACTTGTGGGTTTGTTACAGAAAAATAGTATTACTACAAAATTGAAGCGTCAGTCCTATGAATTCATTCAAGTTCTTCTCTGGTATTTTCAGGACAACACATGGCTTTATACCTTTGTATCTTTATACCTTTCAAATTAAATGTGCCTTATACTTTTAAGTTGAACTGATGCTTCATTTTCGCATTTGTGGGTATGTCGTAGAAAAATAGCATTGCAAAATTATAACATCCAAAAGAAGAAGAAAAATTGTGTGATGAAAAATTTCTTAAATGTGTAGCAATGACTTTCGAAACAAATAACAAATTTGACGCAGATCTCAACCTTGTGGTGAATACAAAAAACGATTCACATACGAGTCTATTAACTCATAAGTGCTCTCTCTCTCTCTCTCTAGAATTTTGAAACCCACCTTTAACCATTTCAAAAGAATCCTCCCTGCGGTTCGGACCAAAAAAAAAAGCGAAAGTGATGCCTTATCTCCACCAATCAAAGACAGGGAATCTTCTTGAATCCGCTATCTGATCTGATCTCTTAGAAATTACTCAAAAAACCTTGAAATTGAGATCAATGGGGTTAAGGAAGGTCCCACCGTCCCGCGGGTGGGTATGGGCGATGTGGAAAACCCACCAGTCACCCAGATATTTCGGCGTCCCGACACGGAAGTGTCGTCCTAACCCCAATTCATCAAATCGAAGGTTTTGGAAGGGACGTCGGAAGGTGATGTCAGGCGATCTAGAAGTGTCATAATTCAGACAACCAACAGCTTGAATGGGGTCTCTTTTATGGCACGTGACATGTTACTTGAAACACTTTCAATTTTAACTTTCTACCTTTGAACAGTTTTTTGCAAATGTCATGAGATATGACAGCTTTAGTTTAGTTATGAGTTGGTAGGTGTAGCTTTGTAGAATAAGAATTGACACTTGATACTCAATGGAAGTGAAAGAATTGGGGATATCTTTTAATAGAAAATAGATGTACATGGGTATTTAGTTTGTGTAATGCATGTCATTAAATATGATTCTTCATATATATATATATATATATATATATATATATATATGATATGGAAGAAAAAAAATTGGCATTTGATACTTCCCGAAAGATAAGGGAACCTTATAAAAGTACATGGGAACTTTATAATAGATTGATTTGATTTTGTAATTGCATGCATAGAATAAAAGTAACATTTGATATTTAAAGGAAAGTTAAAGGATATATCAATTAGTGTGAAATGGATATATTTAGGTGTTAAAAAAGCAATGATATATGTTTAGTTGTTATTTGAAAGACTTGGCTTGAAAGCTTTTTTAATTTCAAAATATAAAATAGATTTGCGATTTAGAAGTGTCATAATTCAGACAAGCAATAGCCTGAATGCGGTTTCTTTTATGACACGTGACATGTTACTTGAAACACTTTCAATTTTAACTTTCTACCTTTGGATAGTTTTTTGAAAATGTCATGAGATATAATAACTTTAGTTTGGTTATGGCTTGGTAGGTGTAGCTTTGTAGAATAAAAATTGACACTTGATACTCAATGAAAATGAAAACGAGGATAATTTTTAAAAGAAAATAGATGTACAGGGGTGTTTTATTTGTATAATTCATTCAGTATTATATGCCAACGGCCGTACCATGCTGAATATACCGGTTCTCGTTAGATCACCGAAGTTAAGCATCATTGGGCGCGGTCGGTACTTGAAGTGACCAAACACTGCGTGCCGTTGGCAAATTTGGGACCTGAATGGCATTTGGCGCTCGGTGCCACAGGTTTCTTCGAATCCGGTGCCATGGATGTTTGTAGTGGTTCGAATCCACTTTAAGCCGTTCCCGGTCTTCTATGACTGTAAGAGCGTCATGGAGCAAAAGTCAGGCTTCTACCTACGGGTGCTCCATCACAACAGAAGCTGCTTCCTTCCCCTTCAATCATGAGTCCATATGGGCTCGTGGGCTTGGCCAGCCAATTGGGATAAGAAACAACAACAACAACAACAACAGTATTATATATATATATTTGATATAGGAGAATAAAAAGAGCATTTGATACTTCCCCAAAGATAAGTTTATAATAGTATGTATTGAAGATATTTTTGTACAGTTAATGTCATTAGATATGTCTTTTTTTTTATTTGATTTCGTAGTTACATGCATAGAATAAAAAGTAACATTTGATACTTGAAGTAAAGTTAAAGTTAAGGGATATATCAATTAATGTAAAATGGATATATTTAGGTGTCAAAAAAACAATGAGTTATTTTTATTTGTTATTTGAAAGACGTGACTTGAAGGCATTTTGATTTGAAAATTTATGACACACTGTTGTTTAGATAAAAGGAAACAATAACATTAAAAAAAAATATTTAGTTTGGCCACTATTTGCAAAATCAGAAACATTGTAAAATATTTTGGAAATATGATTTTGCAATATTTCATTATTTCCCGTGTTTTGGTACTTTATTTTCAGTTTTGTAACATAAATTAAACATAACGTTTGTAACATTGTAACATAACGTTTTGTTTGTTATTATTATAAAGAAATTAAAAAATATGATAATAACATATTCTTATATTTTCAAAAACATAAAATAATATTTTTAAGCAGTGGATTTATTAAAGAAAAAATTATAAAGAATGAACAAATTAAAAAGTTCTGCATCAAATCTAAATGTTAAATATTTATTTACAAATAATGTATCGTTCGTAGTTTATAAAGTAATTTAACTTTGTCTGAGGCATCATTTTCAAAAATTTTATTAATATTATTCTTTCACTTAATATTTTATATTAAATAATATTATTTTCAGTACTTTCTGATTAATATTGGATTGCACGCTGGTAAATTCTTCAACAAAAAAGATAAACTTCTTTAATAGCTATTTCAAAGCATCACAAAATTGTCAATGATATTAATACGATGATGAAGTATGATTTACGATATACGATTTTTAAATTAAGGTTGTGGTAATTATAAGCCGAAATAAGTTCGATTAGCTCATATGTTTGAATTCAAAATGGTATAAAAACTGCTATGTTTAATTAAAATTTAAACAACATATCTTTTACTTAACTAAAGAATATCGTTAGAATGCCAAGGCATGAAATAACATAGATCGATCTAAATAACTATGTAGAATAAAAAATTCTATTAATGAGATTTTAAATAAAATAAATGTTGTTTAGTAAAATATTTTGTTTAACTTCAGTTGTTACATAAATAAAAAATTAAATATCTTGCAGTATAATAACTAATGTTACTCTAGGAGCTTAGAAATAATAATATTCATTACAACTGCAAATCACTATTGAAGTAATCTTTTATAGAATAAGAATTGTGTCCATGAAACGACTTATAACTATCACTTGGCATTATATATTTAAATTTTGTGAAAAAAAACTAACAATGAAGCCCAATTAATTGAAATGCGTCAAATGAATTTGGTTTTATTCAATTCTTGCTTTGGTTTATAATGAATGTAAATATATTGTATGAAATTAATTATGAAATAAATGTATTGTATGACATTTTTATGAAATTAGTTAGGAAATCAATGAATTGTGTGGCATCTATTGTATGAAATTAATTAGAAAATCAATTTGTATGATATTTGTGTGAAATTAATTAGGAAATCAATTTATATGATATTTATACGAAATTAATTAGGGAATCAATTTATATGATATTTATACGAAATTAATTAGGGAATCAATTTATATGATATTTGTACGAAATTAATTAGGAAATCAATGCATTGTATGAAATTAATAATGATGCCCAATTAATTAAAATTCGTTAAAGGTATTATGTTTTCTTTAAATCTTACTTCGACTAATATTGAGTGTAAATCTATTGTATCAGATTAATCGGGAAATTAATGTATTGTATGATATTTTTATAACATTAGTTATGAAAACAATGAATTGCGCGATATCTATTCTAAGAAATTAATTAGGAAATCAGTGAATTATATGATATCTATTGTATGAATTTAATTATGAAATCAATGCATTGTATGAAATTAATTTAATAATATCTTAATATACGAAATTAATCTTTCTAGATGCTAGATGTCAATTTAAACAGAATTAAAAATAGGAATTAATTAGAATTATCATAATTCACTTATAATGATTAGTAAAAAGTCTCAAATTTGAGGAGTGAGATGATGGATCAGTGCCTACATTGATATATTTCGTGGTCACAATTCTACATCATGAGTTAAGTTCAGAAGGACAACATCGAGTGCTGAAATATGTTTCTAAAGAAAAACGGTTCTAAAAACTTCAGCAATTGGTGAAATATAAATATAAGGATGACAAATCGGTTTAAAAGCGAATCTTAAACCGATTTGTTATACTTTGGTTAAACCTTTTCTTTTATTTATTACTCATCACTTACTAATGTCTTGCTGTATTTTTACCTTTTCATCTGCTTATTTTATTAAAGTATTAGGTGTATCTTCAAAGCAGTTCCATATCCATACCATTTAAGGAATCAACTTTCTGATGAGACAAATTTGTATGGTAGAATATATTTCACTTTCTTGATAAAAGATTTAAAACTACCTTATAAAATATTGCTCATGTTGAAGCAGAACTTTAATATTATTCATGAGATTTTGATATAAGAAAGAGAATTACAAACAGTAAAAGTTAAACCATGAGATGGGTATACATAAAAAGTACTTGTATATATCTACAGTAGTGGGTGTATAAATATTCTTAGACTTTGTTTTTCGTTGTGTGGCTAGGTCTGTAGGATGCATATAATTGCTTCATTTTGAAAAGACTGTCTTTGTTTCATCTGCAACGTATATCATTGTTATTCATGCTTTCAAAGTCAATTTGCTATTAGATAGAAGTTGCTTTTGATACACGATTACTGTAGCTACATCCGTTTCAAAATGACTGCTTAAGCTGTAAATTTATGGTTGTACGTCCTTTTATAAATAAATATACGATTCAATGTTTAAACTTGTATGTAAAGTCTGACATTTAACTAAACGTAAATTTAGTGAGACAGTTTAAATTGGGCCTCCTACACTCAGAATGTGTGTAGGAAGGGTGATTCTTCTACACTACCCAAATTTACCCTTCTTAATTTACATTTCATTTGTCAACGCCTTCTAGGATTTATAACCTGCAATATAGTTTATAATTTTTTTAATCCAATTCTATGCAAGTAACTGAATACTGATGAAGATTATAAATTTCTTATCCAATATCCGAGTATTTCAACTCCTAAATTTCTGTCCAGGTAATTTCGAAGTTTATTAATATTTTTACAATGGGATCACTATGTTCATGGGTCAATGTAGGTCTTTAAAATTAAATGCAATTTAAAATGATAATCACCAAGAAATGCGTCTTAGGATATCTTTATGAACCCAAAGATTTATCATGCGAGTGAACACTAGAGCGTCAGATTGAACAAACTAGCATTCGAATCGAATTCGTCTACATCAGAAATCTCATTAACCACCAGATCGCTGAAAGTATGAATAAAGTACTGAAACTTAAGCAGTGTTAATATTAATTTTTAATTCGTATATTATAAAAATCAATTAAATCATATCTGAATAAACAAAATCTTTTATTTTATTTTACAAATGCTGAACATTGGCGCCTAAGCCATTAGTTCAAGGGCTCTCCAGTACTTTTTGACCATGTCCTCATACCAAGAAAGTGAGTTACAATTATTTAAATGTTCAAAAGTCATAGGCCGGCTAGAGTCACACAAAACACAGTTTGGGGAGTCCCCCAATTATACAGTGGTCAAATAAACAGTCATGACCAGTCAAACTAAAAAAATCTAAAGTCGAAGTCTAAATAGAATCACTGCTGTCTTTCTTGGAAAACAGGGAATAGTTCTTTCTTCCCACAGAATTCTCCATCTCTAGCGCGTTGAATCCTATCTTATTTAAAAATTTTTTTAAACGCCATGTTAACAAACAATGTATCATATAAAATAAAAGCGGTCGATTAATGCGTTGCTCTATCAAAGTTCCTTTCTTAGCCAGTTAATAAGCAAACTATTAAAAGAATGAACTAAATAAATAAGCTGAATTTATTAAGCATTTTACACATGTAATGAATATTATTATTCTTCAATGTCAGACACTTGTTTTAAGATCATTGGTCACTAGGCCTATAGAATCAGCAGTATACAGAATGCTACTCTAATGTATTACATTACCTCGATAAAAGATGGCATAATGTCTTCAGTGAAGACTTTTAGGGGTGACTGAATTAAATTTGAATGTCTTATTTTTAAACTCTTACAGATAATGCGAGGTTAATGAGAATCACTACCAATTTACTCAATTTTTCAAAGAAATGTCTAACACTTAGTATCAGAATTAACATTATTCATAGTGTTACACTAACGTATTACATTATCTCGATGGAACATGAAATAATATCTTCAATAGCGACTTTTAGATGTGACTGCATTAAATTTGAATGTTCTATTTATAAACTCTTACAGATAATGAGAATCATTACCAATCTACTCATTTCTTCAAAGAAATTTCTATATAATATATAACCAGTGGCCAATGATCATTTAAATGAAAATATTAAATGAACTATAAGTCTAATAAAAACGCGAATTTATTTTTGATTATCATGTTTAAATATCATTTTAAATATCTAACCTCATTATATCCATATTTCACATAAAGGGTATCACCCTTTTCACCAAATAGCCTTT